TACGGGCGCGACACCGAGGGTTGCGATCCTGTTGCCGGTCCCCAGTGCGGGCACAACACCGAGGGTTGCGGTCCCATTGCCGGTCCCCGGTACGGGCGCGACACCGAGGGTTGCGATCCTGTTGCCGGTCCCCAGTACGGGCGCGACACCGAGGGTTGCGATCCCATTACCGGTCAGTAAAAAAGACAAAAAGGAAAAAAAAAAAGTACTTCTTAGAATTTCTATGAGGTTTAAATGAAATAATTCACGTAAGTGCTTTCATCACTCTATGAGTGGGACCTACCACCATCAAAGAAAGATGGAATAGAGCAAAGAGCCCTTCAGTTGACGAAGTTGAGATAGAATAGTGTTCATGGTTCAGGATAGTGGGTCCTCTCTAGTTAAGTGTAAATCTTTGTAGGAGACAGTTTGGTAATATGTTATTAATGTGCATACTTTTTGATCAATTTAATTTCTTGCAATGTGTCCTAAGGAAACAAACAAGCATGAAAAGATATATGTGACAAGGATTTTTATCATAGCATGGTTTATGGGAGTGGAAAATGAAACCATTTTTAGACCATATAATAGAACACAATAGAAACATTGAAAGTCATGTTTTTGAAGAACACATTGTCTATCACAAACGTGATAGAATTTTACAAGAAAAATCAAGATACAAAAGTATATTACATAGTTGGGTCATAATTATTCTATTTGAAGTATTATAAGATATTGAAAGGAGATTGGAAGGAAATACAAGAGTTTTAATAGTGGTCACTTTGGTGCAATTAGCGATTTTCATTTTTTCATACGTTTCTATAGTAAAGTTATGTTATACAATAAACCTACATTGTATAATACTATAAACTTATATGATGAATTCCTATCCCCAACTTCTCAACCTTTGCTACCTTTCTTTTCTCTTATTAAAACAAATAGAGGGCCAGCCTGGTGGTGCACTCGGTAGAGTGTGGCCCTTGGGAGAGTGGTGGCGCTTCCACCGAGGGTTCGGATCCCATATGGAGACCGGTCCACTCACTGGTTGAGCACGGTGCGGGCGCGACACCGAGGGTTGCGATCCCGTTACCGGTCATGAAAAAAGACAAAAAAAGGAAAAAAAAAAAAAATAGAAAATGTCTCTTCTTGAAAAGATGGTAGTATGTTTTTTAGGCTGACTGTTTAGAAAGGGAGCCCAATGTGAGGTGGAGATGATGAGGACAGTTTAGGATCTTGAGTGCAGCACTTTGCATTATTTCAGAAAGAAGATAAATGGCTAAATTATTAATGTGGGCTATTGAATTTTCAGAATTTCAGAACTTTCTGTTTATGTAAAGCATATTCGACACAATAATCAGGAAGATAAATATATCCGTTTTGAAAAGTCAAGGAAAGCCGGAAGAGTAGATCAAATGTTTGGTTAACTTACCTCCAGAAAAAAAGTAGTTTTTAAAAAAAAATGTTGACAGAAAAAGGTGTTACACTTGAGGTTTGTTCCAAGCGTGAAGCAGGATTAAAAAGAGAGAAAACAATCCTCATTAGCCTGGAAAGTGAGCTTCCGGCACAGCATCAAAGAATCTAATCTTCTAAATAGCTGTTCCTATAGCTGGAAAAAAACCTGCAAATCTTATATGGAGGGCCTTTGAAAAATTGTCCAAGTACGAAAACTGTTTTTATGTTTTTAATTATCAGGATTTGGATGGAGTTGAAAAAAATAATCATGATGGTGGCTTTCACAGGTTGTACTCTCTGAATAAGGGAAGAAGCTTTTACGTGAAAAGCTAATAGTAATTGTTAGCTAGGCGTTTTGCCTATTCGGAGATATTAATAAACTCCTAGTTTAAAACAAACAAATTGTTTCTGTGCGTGTAGTTGCATGTGTGTGTTGAAATAACTTTTGGCAGTAAGGTTCAAAAAGGCTAATTTACGTAAGGAAAAAAACTGATTTTGGTTAGTAATTTTTATTACCGTTGTAACCTGCAGCTCATTTTATTTATAGGCGAGTGGCTGAACTATTTATGTTTGATTTTGAAATCAGTGGAATCCATCTAGACAAAGAAAAGGTAAATCTTTCCCCTTTTTTGTTACTTTGTCTTACACTTTATTATTTTATTTTATATTTTTATAAAACAAATATTTGTTCAAAAACAAATGTTTATTTATTATTATTATTTTTTAATTTTAATGATTATGCATACTCACGGGGTACAAAGCTGACCGTCACCACCCGTGCCCAGGATGTGATGATCAGATCAATGATATTAGGAGTCTGTTACCACAAATGCAAATTATTGTCCATGACCACCATCCAATAAATTCCCGACCTCTCCCTCTCCAAGTCCAACACACCACTGTGGTCTTTCTATCCTTCCTTCTCGTTTAGCTCCCACTTATGACTGAGGACATGTGGTATTTTTCCTTCTGTGCCTGGCTTGTTTCACTCAACATAAGTTTTTCTAAGCTTATCGATGTTGCTGCAAATGGCAGAATTCCATTCTTTTTTATGGCAGAGTGGTATTCCATGGCGTATATATACCACATTTTTCTTTTTTTTAATTAATTTTTTATTATAACAAAGTTGATTGTATGTGTCTGTGGGGTACAGAGTTGAACATCAATACTTGTGTACAATATGTGATGCTCAAATCAGAATAATTATTATATTCAATAATATACAATATCATTGCTATTTGTCGTAGTATTCCATGGTGTATATATACATTTTTCTTTCTAGTCATCTATCAGTGGACATTTAGGTTGCTTTCATATCTTGGCTATTGCAAATAGAGCTGCAATGAACACGGGAGTACAGGTATCCCTTCAACATGATGATTTCCATTCCTTTGGTTATATACATAGAAGTGGGATTGCTGGATCATATGGAAGATCTATCTGTAGTTGTTTGAGAACCTCCATACTGTTTTCCATAGTGGTTGTACTAATGTACAGTCTCACCAACAGTGCAGGAGCATTGCCTTCTCTCCACATCCTCTCCAGCATTTGTTATTCTCATTCTTTTTGATTATAGCCAGTCTAACTGGGATGAGGTGGTACCTCAATGTGATTTCAATTTGCATTTCCCTGATGCTAAGTGATGTTGAGTGTTTTTTAAGTGCCTGTTGGCCATTTATATGTCTTTCTTAAAAAAATATCTATTCAGCTCCTTTGCCCATTTTTTAATTGGGTTGTTTTTTTACTGAATAGTTGCTTGAGTTCCTTTTATGTACTGGGTATTAATCCCTTGTCAGATGTATAGTTTCCAAATATTTTCTCCCATTCATTTCACTCTGTTGATTGTTTCTTTTGCAGTGCAGAAGCTCTTTTGTTTGATATAACCCCATTTATTTATTTTTTCTTTTGTTGCTTGTGCTTTGGGGCTCTTATTCATAAAGTCTTTGCCCAGCCCTACTTCCTGAAGTGTTTCCCTTGTGTTTTCCCTTAATAGTTTTACAGTTTCGGGTCTTCTACTTAAATCTTTAATCCATTTTGAGTTGATTTTAGTGTATGGTGAGTGGTGCAGGTCTAGTTTCATTCTTCTGCATATGGATATCTAATTTTCCTAGCACCATTTGTTGAAGAAGCATCCTTTTCCTAAATGTATGTTTTTGTTGCCTTTGTCAAATATCAGTTGGCTGTAAGTCTGTGGATTGATTTCTGGGTTCTCCATTCTGTTCCACTTGTCAGAGTATCTATTTTTATGCCACCAACCATGCTGTTTTGATTAGTATAGCTTTGTAGTATAATTTGAAGTCAGGCAGCGTTATGCCTCTAGCTTTTATTTATTTATTTTTTTGCTCAGGATTGCTTTGGCCGTTCAGGGTCTTTTGTTGTTCCATATGACTGTTAGTATTGTTTTTCTATTTCTGTGAAGAATGTCATTGGTATTTTGATGGGGATTGCATTGAATCTCTGGATTGCTTTGGATAGTATGGACATTTTCATGATGTTAATTCTTCCAAACCAAGAGAATGGAATATCTTTCCATCCCTGTGTCATCTTTAATTTCTTTCAGTAGTGAATTGTAGTTTTTATTGTAGGGATCTTTCACCACTTTGGTTAAATTGATTCCTGGGTATTTTATCTTTTGGGTGGCTATTGTAAATGGACTTACTTTCTTGATTCCTCTTTCTGTTAGTTCATTATTGGAGAATATAAATGCAAGTGATTTTTGGGCATTGATTTTGTTTCCTGCAACCTTACTGAAATTATTAATCAGCTCCAAGTTTTTTTGATAGTCTTTAGGTTTTTCTATGTATAAGATCATGTCATCTGCAAATAGGGACAGTTTGACTTCATCTTTTCCAGTCTGGGTGCCCTTTATTTCTCTTTCTTGCCTGATTACTCTGGCTAGTACCTCCAGTACTGTGTTAAATAGAAGTGGTGGGAGTGGACATACTTGTCTTGTTCCTGTTCTTAAGGGAAGAGCCTTCAATTTTTCCCTATTCAGGAAGATATTAGCAGTGGGCTTGTCATAGATGGCTTTTATTGTGTTGAGATACTTTCTTTCTATACCTAATTAGCTGAGAGTCTTTATTATGAAGGGATGTTGAATTTTGCTTTTTCTGCATCTATTGAGATAATCATATGGTTTTTGTCCTTGATTTTGTTGATGTGGTGTATCACATTTATTGACTTGCATATATATATATATATATATATATATATACTCAAAGCCAGAGCAGAGGAAACAGTCAGCTGGAATTTAAGGGACTGACAGGGACCTCACAATCTCCCCCTATCCCTTTTAAGGCCCATCAACCATACTCTCTGAGTTTGCGCTCTGAATTCAGCATCAATTGCAGAGCTTTTGAAAATTTTTTTCTTTTGCCCCAGAAAAAAAAGATTTTTTTTTTTTTTTTGTCTTTCCGTGTCCGGCAACGGATCGCAACCCTCAGTGTTGCCCCCGTACCGGACCAGGGACCGGCAACGGGATCGCAACCCTTGGCGTTGCTCCCGCGCCTCGCTCAGCCAGTGAGTGGGAACCGGTCTGTACGTGGGATCTGAACCCTCGGGCGGGAGCGCCGCCGCGCTTCCCAAGCGGCGCACTATCCAGTGCGCCACCGGGCCGGCCCATTGACTTGCATATATTGAACCATCCTTGCATCTCTGGGATAAATCCCACTTGATCATGGTGTATGTTTTTGATGTGTTCCTGTATTCCAATTGCTAGTATTTTATTGAGGTTTTTTATGTCTATGTTCATCAAAGATATTGGTCTGTAATTTTCTTTTTCTGTTGTGTCTGTCCAGTTTTGGTATCAAGGAGATGCTGGCCTGATAGAATGAGTTTGGGAGCATGGCCTTTGTTTCAGTTTTTTGGAATAGTTTGAAGAAAATTGGTATTAAATCCTCTTTAAAGGCTTGGTAGAATTCAGCATAAAGCCATCCAGTCCTGGGCTTCTTTTTGTTGGGAGAGTGCTGATCACTACTACAATTTCATTGCTTGTTACTGGTTTTCTTTCTGTTTCTATTTTATTTTGGTTAAGTCTTGGTAGTTTGTATGTGTCCAGACATTTATCCATTTCCTCCAGGTTTTCAAATTGTTTGGCATATAGTTGTTTGTAATAGTCTCTAATAACTTTTTGTATTTCTGTGGTATTGGTTATAATGTCTCCTTTTTCATTTCTGGTTTTTATAATTTGGGTCTTCTCTCTTCTTTTTTAGTTAACATAACTAATGCTTTGTCTATTTTGTTTATCTTCTCAGAAAACCAGTTTTTTGTTAGATTCATCTTTTGTATTGTTTTTTGGGTCTCTATATCATTTAGTTCTGCTCTAATCTTAATTACTTTTTTCTGTGTACTAACTTTGGGATTGTATTGTTCTTGTTTTTCTATTTTTTTTTATGTGTAGAGTTAGGTTGTTTACTTGAAGTCTTTCTGTTTTTTTGATGTAGGCATTTATTGCTATAAACTTCCCTCTTGGTATTTTTTTGCAGTATCCCACAGGTTTTGATATGATGTGTCTTTATTTTTGTTGTTTTCTAGAAATTTTTTGATTTCCTCTTTAATTTCTTCTTGGATCCATACGTCATTCAGGAGCCTATTGTTTAATTTCCATGTATTTGCATAGAGTCCTGAGTTTCACTTGTTATTAATTTCTAGTTTTAATCCATTATAGTCTGAAAAGACAGTTGAAACCATTTTGATTTTTGTAGTTATTGAGACTTGATTTGTTACCAAATATGTGGTCTATCTTGGAGAATATTTTGTGTGCTGATGAGAAGAATGTATATTCGGTAGTAGTTGGATAAAATGCTGTATAGATGTCTGCCAGGTCCAATTGGTCTAAAGTGTAGTTTTAAATCCCATGTTTTGACTTTGGATCAAGATGGCAGAATAGACAGTACCCAGTGTCACCCTCTCCCACAGTCAACCAATTTACAACTATTAAAAAGCAATGACTTCCAAGCTGGGGCTACTAGAGCTCAGGAGAGGAGGAGGAGGAGATCTATGGAGTGCATGAAGGCAGGAAAAGCCACAATGAGAGAAAGAAAGGACTGCTCCAGCCGTTTTGCGCCTCGACCACTTCAAGGCTGACCCTGGTGAGAACATGGAGCAGGAACTGGCAAAAGCCTCTGTCGTGCCCTTTGTATGAAATTGCTTGGAGGCTTCAGGGGAGAAGAGGGTCTTGGTGGCCCCCAGTCCAGCAAGACCACTGACAGTGTTCCTATGTATGCACATAGGAGCAAGGGGCCACAGACAGCTGAAAAAAGGAGGCATTCAGAGGCCAGTGAGTCACCACAAGGGACTGGCACATGTCCAGTTGCATGACAAGTCTTTGGAGCATGGGTGGTAGGGGAGACTGGCCCTCCAGGGCAACACTGAGGCACAGCAAGGACTGATCTGTTCTCCAATCAGCACAGGCTCCTCAGTGGAGACTGGTCAGGAATATCGATCTGCAGGGGGTGCAGTTTGATGAAAAGACTCAGGCCCAGACCAGAGTTTCCACACAACCAGGTGTACCAGATCTCATAAAACCCAGAAGTGCTTACAAGGTCAACAATTAAACCCTGAACTGCACAAAAAACCTTCCCCAGAGAATCAGCAGCAAAGCAGCAGTTTA